GGCTATTATTTTGAGAGCGTTATACAGTATCATTTTTCCTTAATTAAAGCTTGGTAAGAGTTGGGCGGGTTGGGCTATGACCCATATTTTAGCCCAACTTGACCCAGCTCATTTCAGTCAAGTTACTTTTGGGCAGGCTAATAACTCGTTCACTCATTGACTAAGCCCATTTTGATCCGCCCAAAATCGGCCAAACCCGCCCAATTAACACCCCTAAAACCTAGGGAGTAAAATTTGCCAACAAGATAAAAGAATTTGCTGTATTAAAACTAATTCTGGTTCGAAATAATAATTATAACAAAAGTTTGCACTTCTAACTAATGCCCTGATGATCATATGCATTCTCTATAGTTGAAATAACAAATAGAAGAAAAATGTACATAGTCTTACAATTTAAAGCATTAATCGCTTTCTTGGATCATTAGTTCATCCGTAGGAAAAGGAGAAACTAGGCTTTTAACGTAGATTTCTGTGTACTGCCAGCCATCAGAGTGAATACCCGTGGGAGTGAGCGAGTCATCGTTTGGATTGTATATCATGAAAGTTTCGTCAAAAGCAACCACAACTTCACCTTTATTTGACATGAAAAAGGGTTGAGCATACGAATATGAGTAATCAGCATATTTGATAGTAAACATCTTTGTCCAAGATTCTCTAACCCCATATTCCTTCATAACCCAAACAGATACATGTTTTCCCTCATTATTAATATATATAGAAAGATCACTACCAAACAATCCAAGCTGCAAATCAATATCTCCTTCTTCATAGGATGGTTGCTCCACCGTTTCCCATTTCTCATCAACCAAATCAATAGAAATTATATTGCATCCCTCATACGAGTAATCATTAATATTATTAACCCAATGAAGCTTCCCATTAACAAACTTACCCAATTCAATTAAGAATCCCATCCCATCCGGAAGAGAACAGATACTTTTCCAAGAATCACTCTTTAGACTATATATTCCGACCTCAACATCAAACGAACTATAATCATAGTAAAAACAGCCCACTACCTTATAATCATCACGGAATTCATCATATCCAAAACCGTATACGAACCAACTAACATCCCAGAAATTAGTTTTAAAATTAGGCAATTTCTTATACTTTCTAATTGATGGATTCCATAGAACCAAATCTTTTGACGAATCGGCAAGACAAATCAATCCATTGACAGAACCCACAATCCTAAACGATCTTTTGGGGATTTTCATGGGATAATACAACGTAGATGCCTCAGTAACAGACTCATAAAGTAAAGACTTAAGAGACCATTGCTTAAGATATCGACCAAAATTCAATATGAGCCTATGATGAGTGTTGTCCTTGTTATTAGCTGATAAGTTAAGATGGGACTTTATAAATTCTTGACCAGAAATTAAAGCAAGCCAAGATTTTGAAACACACGTGAATCGCAAGAGGGGTTTCACACGAACCTTTGAGAGGATTTCAGTAACGAGTTCTGCGGGCAAAATAGGGATTGTCAAGATTGAATCTTGCCTTAATGTTAATGGATATTCATCTCCCGTGAATTCCATCCTAGAGAGCTTCACTTTTTTTTGCATGGAGGACTACGACTGCGTGTTGTAAAAGTCACAAAAAGTCTTTTTATATTTACCTTTGAGAATTCTTATACAAGGTAAAATAAACCTAGTGCTTATTTCTTTTGGGCCGTGAATTTTAGTTAGTTTGTTCGGTGAAATTCAAAAATAGTCAGATTTACAAGTGATAACTGAAAAATAGTCACAATTTCTAAAGTAATCGAAATCTATCCACTTTTTATATAAAGATAAATTTGAACGAAAACACTGTTCAAAATCTGAAAAATATTCCAGCATAATATACTGGAGTTCCAGTATAATATACTAGTCCAAGATAATATGATGGAAGTTCATACACTGGTGCTCCAATCTCCAGTATATTATGCTGGAACTTTTTGTGTGTTGGAGTTCCAACATAATATGCTCGAAGTTCATATACAGGTGCACCAATCTCCAGTATATTATGCTGGAACTTTCCGTGTTGTAGCAAAATAGTGGCTATTTTTCAATTACTTTGCAAATGCTGACTCTTTTTCAATTATCAGTCCGAAATCTGGCTAGCCCGTGCTATTTTCACTAGTTTGTTCCCTCATTCACTCGCTCCATTTATTTCTCTGTTTTTTGTCTTTTATTAATTTATTTTAGTTACTTCATTTTCTTTTCTTTAATAAAAAAAATTAAAATGGATATTGAAAATAATACTATCTAATGAGAAAAAATTCACCTTTTCTATTTTGTCAGTTCGGTATTTTTTCTTTTTCTTTAATAGACTAAAATAAAATGAAAATTGAAGATAACACTTACTAATTATACATTAAGAAGTAGTCTAGTGATCAATAAAGCGAAAGAAAAACTCATATGGTTTTAAGTGCAAATTCCCACAATGACAAAAACACTGGATAATTTATTTCATCTTCCTAAGCAATATTATTCGGTACATCCAAGCTGACGCAAACACAATCCTCATAAAAAAAAAACATTACTTTAAGAAAAGATACACATGAAAAATGTTAGAACTGTCAAATTGTTTCAATGTGTTTGAACCCTTTTGGATTAACCCTTTTGGATTAAGAGGGTCAATTGACTAATTTTATATTTTTTGAAATAAAATTTACATATTTAGAAACTACATAAAAAGTACTAAGTCATAATTGTTAATAATTTCAAAATATTTAAAAATTATTTGCAAAAATATGATTAAAATAATTTTTATTTGACTCCCAAAATAGTAAAACGTTCATTCTTTATGAAACAAAGGGTGTAACATATAATTCAATGAGAGAACTATTGAGATAAACAATTTCAACACAAATATGACCTAGGCAAAATTAACCTGTTGTAAAGAATTCGTTATTTCCAAATAAAAGTTAAGTAATATTTCTTTCAAGCTTAGCTACCTAATTGCAATCTGAAAGCTGGTTTCTTTAGTGGCAAGCTTGGAAAATCAACTAGAAATTTGAGATTCAAAAGTAGTTACGTTGAAAAGTCAACCTCAGTATTTGGCCAAACACAATGGTAACCTCAATGCTGTAATATGAATACTTAACCGTAGTAATGATTTTTCTGCAACATACATATTTAAACTAGAGGTGTTAATTTGGAGCCACAATTAATATATTATTATTTTTTAAAATATATATGCATGTATATATGAAATTTTTGCCGAATATTTTGGCTACCGATGACAGCTCTTTTTACAATATAGGTCCGCCTCTGATGTTTAGGCTAGCTTGTGCGTATATTAACTAAATCTACCGGGTACCTGTTACATGTAGCTCTATCCTACTGAAACGGATGTTCCAAGTCCGGTTCACTCTGTTTCCTGCCAAAGACAAAATTATTGCGTTGCAATGTAAAATGTACAAAAATGTCAATATGCATTGTCTATAGTTGAAATAACAAATAAAATTAAATCATTTCAAGCAAAATGTACATAGTGGAACTCTTACTAGTTATTTGTTACTTGATTATCTTGATCTGAGCTTCTTTCGCCAGTGTTTTTGTTGCATTACTAGTTCCTCCTTTGTCGGTTCGGTATTTTGTTTTCTTCTTTTAATGGACTAAAATAAAAGGGAAATTAAAGATAATACCTCTAGTTACTAATATATTGAGAAAAGATGCATCCATTGTATAGTCTAGTGATCAATAAAATGAAAGAGAAATCGTATGACTTAAGAATAAAACTTCACGACGACAAAAATATTAGATGATTTAAAATTTCAACGAGAACAAAATTATTAAATAATTTTCTTCCATCTGCCTGAGCAGAGTTACCACTAAATGTTAACCTCAATAGTAATCTCAATATTCTAATATGTTCATAACCATTCCGTTATGTATGCATACTTAGCTTACTGAGGTTAGCAAATATGTGCCTAAAGACCAAAACATAGTCCAAACGCTATAGACACCTAATCACTCCGAACTCTTTCTTTTAACAATCAGAAACTTTAGGTTAATGTGCTTTGACTTTACCAAACTCTTGTTGTTATTGGATACAAGACTGCTAGCTTATTGTCACAAAATAACTTAAGTGTCCGCTCAACCTTATCCATAAATTTGTAGCCAGTAACAAAATTCTACAGTCATATTCCATAATCAGATATTACATAATATGTTATAAATTAACGGCCATGGTGAAAAGATACTATAGCGTTCATTTAACACTCTTCCTTATATAGTTCATCAACCAAGTATGTAATATTATATCAGTATCTAGTGAAGTAGATATCTCAATACCTGATTATCTTTAATTTTACTGTCTTCCTTTATGTGAGCACAAAATATTTGTTCTCTGTAATTACCTTTTGAACATTTTAAGTTACTTTCAAAAGATAAGTTTATAAATTATTTAAATATCTGCCCAACATCCCTAAATTAAATGAGATATTCAGATGCATACAAAGTAGATCATACATCAGACAATAAAAAAAATATACTTACTCCCACTAAGCTTGTGGTATACACAATAATAACAAGATTTATCTCGAAACTAAATAAGACAATAACTTGATGAAATTAGTAATATAATTAATGAGACACTTTCTCAAGTCTACGGATGATTTTCTTTATTAAAATTTATTTTTGAGGTTGTAGAGTTTGTTAATTGGAAACTACTTCTTGAAGGACGAATCAAATGATATTGCCTTTGATCCAAATTTTCTTCTTGAATAATGTCAAGTATAGAAAGTTGTTCCTGAGCATTGACAATAACAATTACAGGAGTATCAATATGTTCCTATTCAAAGACAAAGTCCTTAACTCTCTCTCCCCCAGCAAACTCTACATCCTCAAAGAACCTCACATTATTGGAAAAAGTAGCCTTAGTAGTGGAATAAAAAATCTAAAAAATTGAGGGAATAGAAAATATTATTGGACAGAAGTCTCTTAATTCTCCTTTAGAGATATGACCTAATCTCTTGTTCCATAAAGAAGTTGTCTACGGGATGGTTAATTTACCCTTATTACCGGTTATGTTAACATGCAAGGTCATTGAACGAAGCAATCATACCACGTATAGATTAATGTAACCTGATAAAAAATCAGGACCAGCTAATTTTGAATTATGAAAGAGACTAATTTTGTTTTTCCAAATAAATAAAAATTAACCAAACTTGTGTAATATAGAAACGAAAATCAAATCCCATAAAAATGGTGCAATACAAGTCTCGTTCAAATTCAAATAAAATCGGTTCTTAACAATAATCTAAAAGTTCCAATTGTGGATGTATCTTTCACCACTATTAGGCTTTCGATAGTTCATGCAACCCTGCATAAACACAGTTATATGAGTTTTTATACCGGAATTTATTCACCATTTGTGTCTTGATACCGAAGTCAAATTAATCTTAGAACAAACAAAATTAAGAGGTGTGCCTTTCTTTGCACGCCATGTGTGATAGTTGGTATAATCCTTCTTCTTATGACCTGCATCTTTACAAAAGAAACAGCCATTTGTAGTTGGTTCCTGATATTGTTTCTTTTGTGTTGTTGTATCTGTAATTTTCTTATTCTTTCTCTTCTTGTCCTTCCTTTTGTCCTTATGCACAGTGGCTAAGTGAGCATTTTCTATCTTTTTCTGCTTCAGTCTATCCTCTTCCTGAACACAGTGTGAGATGAGTTCATTTGGAGACGAAATCTCTTTTTAACAATTATAGCTCACCTTAAACTAGCAAAACTATGGTAGAAGGGATTTCAAAATCAAATGTGCGAGCAAGTCATTAAAGAGGTCCAACTTAAGTGCTTTCAACTTAGAAGTAAGATGAGACATTTGCATGATGTACTCCTTGATGTTACCTTTGCCTTGATACCTCATTGAAATCTGACTTGTCAAGAGTGTACCAATCTTAGCCTTTTCACTCTTGACAAATACTTTCTCAATTCAACCATAAATTCTTTAGCCGTCTTAACCTTGTCCGACATAGTACCCCTGAATGTTTCTCGAATGGCTTTCTTCATGATCATCATACACATGCAATTTGATCTCTCCCACCTTTCCATCTACCTCATTTTATTAGAGGTACTCTTATCTGTAAGAGAAGGTGGAGAATCAACCCTTAACGTAAGGTCAAGATCCATGACTCCGAGAACTATATTGAGATTCTCTTGCCATGACTTGAAGTTAGTGCCATTCAACATAGAAATTGAATTGATGCATTGGCAGTAATATTTCCAGGAGTAATTTTAGCTTAATCAGATAACAATAAATAATAATAAGCTCACATATATTAAAACCAAAAGAAAATAAATATGAATAAAGGTAAACCCCATCTCAAGGTACCGTGCACTCCATTAATATCTCATCTTTGGACAAAATATTAACTTGTAAGTGGTATCTTGGTATAGTAATCAAACATTGATAATAAAGAACATGTCGAATAATAAATCTTCCTTTGGAGCGGTTTATTATTCACACGTAAAACCAAATAATCATTCCGCCTTTATTACCACAAAAAGCACATGCAATTCTATTAATATCAACCTTCCTTAGGACCGAT